AAAAAGCTGGTCATTGTGCACATGTTACATCCGCGCAAAAACTTACCAGGCATGGCGAAGCTGCAATTTTTAGAGCCGAAAGCGTTTGCGCAACCTGGAAAGCACTGGCGCTAGGTGATCCTTGGCGTACCCTTGCCGAATGTAAAGCTCCTCTAATACCTGCAGCTGCTGGACAATCAGTTGTCTCGGTCGGGTGTGTCGACATACCAATTCTGCTCGTGAACGAAAACCACTCAGTAGAATCGACAAACTGCAGGCCGACCTTGGATGTCGGATGCTGCCTGCGGTGTTCGGCATGACCATAGTCATTGTACGAGTTCGAGGATCGCATTGGAATCCGAGAATCTTGATGTCGGCCACGTTCTCAAGCATCAATGGAGGTCCAAACCAATCCAAGCGTGTAAATGCATGATGCACATGTTCCTGAAACGTATGGCGGAACCCTAGAAGGATTCTGTTGTCCACATATCTCGCGTGTAACGCATACGGAATATGTGAAGAAAGGGGTTTCACAATTTGCTGCCACTGACTTTCTTTCATAGCTGCAACCATACTGCAAAGCACTGGCGCAAGTTGCGAGCCCATGCTGGCTCCTTGGACCTGTTGTACAGCATGCGTCCCAACACTCAAAGCAGCAGCTTGCAACAGAAACGACACCATGTGCGGAATCTCATGAATGGCAATTAAGAAGTGACGATGAGCTTGTTTCCGGTAGCGACCTCGAAACACTCGATGAAACTGATCAGCTTGCTTGACGGAAACTGACAACTCATGATCCACGTCAACCTTTTCTCTTTGCATGAACTGATGGAGGACCACTCGCAGGCTGTCCAAGATACGTGAATGAGGCACGGCGTTAAAGAAACCGGCAACGTCCTGTTGCATCAACAAGAGCTCCTCGTCAATCGGGGCCGCCTGCATGATTTTCCACATCTGCTGTAAGATATGCATCACCGATGGCAGGGCCTCTTTTCGCCCAAACACCCTGTCGACTACCTGCGTGATGATTGCAGCAACCACCTGAGAAATCTTACCATTCCACGCAGCGTTGTATGCTACGATCGGCCTAGCTCTGCACCAGCCTTTGCTGGCCTTGGGTAGCAGGTACGCCTTGGGAAGCGGCTTTGAAAGGATGAGTGCTTTTTGATTTCGTAGTTGCTTTCTGGCCTGCTTCAAAATCTGATCCCGAGTCACTGCCGCTGATTGAGGTAGCGGGCGAAAGATGGTGCCATCGAAGAATGTGCCAATCAGTAATAGGTGAAACTGCACGGGACATGCTATATGCAACTGCGTAGGGAAATGGTCCACTGGCAAGGTGACCCAATGTCGTATACAATGACTGGCTGCTTTGATCGCCTGGACAGATTCATCTTCTGCGCGCTGAAAGCTTGTCCAATGCTGACTAACGAACTCATCCCACTGTTCAACAGCCGACTTTGGCAATTTCCAAGCACTGGCAAATTTTGTGAATTCTCGATGGTGGTGTCTGAGGAATTGCTGTTCGGACGCCCAAACTGTATCAGTCATGGAATGGGTAAGAACACTGTGAAACAAATTCGGATACAGCGTGACGGCATCTGTGGCTGAACAAAAGATATGACCCCATTTCGTGCGTGGCAAATCCTTGGCATGGTGACACGCACACGCTGGTGACTTCGCATGTGTCCAATCCTTGATGAACTTTCGATGATTGAAGAGCACCTGACCCAATGTTCGGTTTTGAACTTCCACCATCTTGACCTTGGGTAAGTGGTACGGTGGGAACCATAGGGAATTGTGCTCCACGAAGCTCTTGATCCACGACCTAGCTGCTTGTAAGAAATTGCCAGGTCCTTGCAGAACCTTTAACATGCGATTCATAGGCGGTATATCTCCACCTCGAAACCTAAGGGCGGAGGTCAGCAATGTGGTGGCTCTTGCTCTTTCCAGGGAATCCAGCATAGGTGTAAGTCGAACCAAATAATACAGAAAGGACAATGGAACATGTTGGGATCGCCAAAAAACCTGGACACAGTGAACTTCTGTACTGAATTGCTGCCAAGTTGTGATAGCAGTTGAAGGTGTGTGGACGCTTCCTGCAGATCAACTGCAGCCAAGTCCAGATGCAGTCGTCGAGCTGTGCCCCGACGCCGTCGATGCAATCGTCGGCCGGGAGCTCCCGTGGTAGTATTGTGATGTAGTATAGGTTTTACGGAAAAACCTAATTTCTTGAGCTCCTGGTGAACCCAAGGTGCATTCAGCCGACTGCGATGCTGTCGTATGAGTAGAGCTTCGTGAGCTCTGAGTTCACCAGCATCAGGGCATGTTTTGAGCACAAGCGGGTAGAACTGGTCATAGGTGCCGGTAACCAACCAGAATCTCAGCGCTGGTTCAAAGTAAGCTTGTCGCTCTCGTCTGATCTGAGTGAACTTGGAATGGCGAGACTGTTCCCTTTCTTTGATGGTTTCATGAGTACTGCCGATATACCACTGACGTTGAGAAAAACTAATCCGCAAATATA